AGGCTGCCTGCTCAACAGCACATAGGCTGCCTGCTCAACAGCACATAGGCTGCCTGCTCAACAGCACGTGGGCTGCCTGCTCAACAGCTCAAGAGCTGCCGGTGCAACAGCCCACAAGCAGCTCTTGTGCTGCCAGTCCAACAGCCCAAGAGCTGCCGACAGCCCACAAGTGCTGCCGGTGCAACAGCTCAAGAGCTGCCGGTGCAACAGCACACGCGCTGCCGGCCCAACAGCACACAAGCTGCTCAAGGGCCGGCCCAACAGCTCCGGAGCTGCCTCCGGCCAACAGACTCGCGCGCCGGTCCCAAACAGCTCAGGAGTGCGGCGCAGCACTCCCAAATGGCTCGTGAGCCCGCGCGGGTCCTCAGGGTGCCTTTGAAGCAACTTGCGGGCGTTTTGCAAGCACTTTAGAGCCCCTACGATTGCAGACCCCACGGCCTCCAACCCTCAAAATCGGCAGACCCTCAAATGACGGAATTCTGACCTAGGTCTTGAAACAAGGCCCGCAGCTACCACAGAGTGGGAGCTGACAACACCCTCCCCAGAGAGAGTCTCACAATCACACATTGGTCTTGTGGAAACTGAGCTTCTATGTTCGTCCAACCGGACACAGCGCCCACAGATTTGTGAAAAAAATTCACTTACGTCGGACAAACGCAACACTGACAGCACAACGACTGTCGAAAACAACATGCTTTCCAAGTACATGCAAATCTTGGAACAAAAACAAGCAAGACAAGATCCGGTCATATCTGCAAAACTGTGGCACAAACTTGAACTGAAAGTTTTCTTTCAATTACTGTTGGCTGCAACACTCCAATTTGAAGTTGGAAGTCAATTGTAGCTTTGAAATCATAATGAGGTTTCGCGTTCTGCGCCAGCGCTGCAGTTCTAGCAGTGCATTGGTATCAACTCTCTGGTTTCCCAACAATAAGTTGTCAGCCCCAAACTGCTCCACAAACACTTCTCGACTAAGATTTAAAGGGACAAAACATGCGTGCGAAAACGCTGGACGACATACTTGGCGTCAGCGACTGTTAATCTATGCCGGAATGTTGTCGTCTCCAATGCTTGCAACGTTGGCAACCAAGCTTCCAACTTCAACAAAATCACTCTTGGGACAACGCGGCACAGGCACATTGCCGATTCGGCGGATTGGAGCTGAAAGATCTTCACTGCCGTCAGTCGCCAGGATGACACCTGGTCAAGCAAAGCGGTCTTCGGGCCTTGGGCGGCGGCAGACAGAGGCTTTGCCAATGCTCGAAGGGAACGAACCGCCCTTGTTTCGACCGGTTCTTCTCGGCGAACCGCTCTGTTGCCCGTAGCAGCACAAAAAGAGGCAGTATCCTACGTTTGAGTACGTTTGCTCTTTTGGTACAGAGTGTAAGCATGCAAAACTGGATTTATGCAAATGGTAAACAAACCCTTCTCCGTACTGTAATCGGAACCCGGTACGACACGGAAGCTGGGCTCGAACATTTCGTATTCCCGAAGCTCTAACCCCCTAAATTTTTAGATAACACTCCAAATGCAAAATTCAGCACGCATGCCCCAAATCCGGAACTTGTGTGTTGAGCAGAAAGGGGATTCGGAATGGGTGAACAGCCTCTCGTAGGAACCGGCCTTCGAAGAGATGCAACCTCCAGTAGGAAACGGTCTCTTACAAGAAAACTCTTGCCGCAGACAAGGCACTCCCACTTTTGCAAGGTGCCGTCTGGTCAGAAACAAACCAATGTTTTTTTTTTCCAAGCCCAATCGAGTGAAGAACTTGAAATTCTTGGCAATAGCCACATCCTGCGGCTGGCATCCAGTGGGACGTCGTGAATCTGTTCGAGCTTCCACTTTCCAGCAGCAGCTTCACCAACGCTTTGACAGCTTTCTAGAAAAATGCAAAACAGCCAAACTGCATGTTGGCTGTCGCTTCAGCTACCATCGTCTGCATTGCCATCTGGATTGATGACCGGTGGTATTAGAGTTGTTGCCTCTTCTCATTCCGAACCTTCACATCTCTCGACATCATAAACCGCATTTGCACCATAGGAAACCCCAACAACGGTGTTTTTTTTGGCATTTCGGTATTGTTTCCAATGAATGGACTTGCCAGGGAGGGTGGGAGAGCCAAACCTGTACACTGAGCCGAAAGATCTTGAGACAAGACATCGACTCATCCGCTCGCAATAGTCCAAAAACTGCTCCATCGTACATCAGCTGGCTACCTCGTCTGTGGTCCAGCGGACCCCTTGGCGAGGAGGCGGTTCAGCCTGCCAACAAAAGCAGCTCCTGGATCGGGGGTCCCCGCCAAGGCGCTGGAAAAACCCGGCGGGCACACAGTAGTTTTCCAAGGCAATGAATGCTGAGTGCTCGCTGGTGCCGCTGACAGTGGCGCCAGCCACAGACCGAGGTTGCGGTGGTCCTGGACAGACTGGTCAGCTGTCAGGACTTATCCTGGCAAGTTTTCTGAACTTAAGCGCCGTGTAAGTGGCGTAAGCACTGCAAGGTGGCCCACGTGTACGAGATGGCTTGAAGGACGGCGCCCATACGCGCCATGGTTCTTTGCCGAGACGGCCACGCTTTGCAACAGCTCCAGCAAGCTTCATTTGTTGACCGTCGAAACCAAGGAGGCTCTTGATGATTTAGATCGCGACTACTCGTCATGCCCCAGTGCGTGCAGTGTGTGTGAGAAAGGGTCGCCATCGGCAACTCGTGGCACGTGGGATTTGCCGTGGAGATGTTGCGGTTTTCTCTCATGTATGGTGCGCGGTCTTCCCGGGCCCCCACGCCCGCGGTGCGCTGGATGTCTCGGGTGTTCCGGGATCTTGCGTTGGCCGGCGCAGAAGCTGGCCGGTCAACGTCCGTTGTCCATACAGAGGAAACCGGGTTTGTGTGATCATGTGCCCAGCACAATAGGAAGCAACATAATCAATAGCATGTTCGATGGAAAATGCAGCTGCATAACCATCTCAAGAAAAAACAAACCTGATCAAATCTGATCAAAACCATGGTTGGATCACAATTGATTTTTCGTGGGTTCGATCGGTAGCAGAATCAAAAGTCTCGCCAAAAAATCTTGCGAAAAAGTCAACGGAGCAACATCAATACACATATTGACTATATCTAAATAAACGCTTCAAGTCAATATCAACAAAAGTCCTATCCTTTCTACTGATTAGGGTCAATAAGGGGTTCCAAGGGTGTGGGAGCATTGGAGATTTTCTGCTGAGGCGGTACACCCATTCTTTCAGCGACCTGTTCTAGATCCAGCTGTCGAGGTCACACTGCAGAGGCTTTTGCGATTTGAGCTTACGGGCTCCACGACTTTAGGAGCAATGTGATACATGACATTACATCCCTCAAACAGTCGATGCAAGCAGACACTCAACGATGGTTTGAGTCATTGGAGCCACATGTGCAACAGGCTTTATAGTTTACCGGACGGTGCCATGGTCCAGATCCCTTTGTTCATTGCATTGCTCTGAGGTCCTGGTTTTCGCGAGACCGCCTCGCTGGAGGAGGCGCTATTCCGAGGTTTCTTTGTTTGAGGAGAATCGAACCGGCATGGCGGTTGGACAATAGATATGATCATCCGATTTCGGATCCCGCCGATCAAGAGCTGAGCCGGCAACATGTACATCAGAAGCTGCGCCAAGGTCGGGTGGGTGCTGAGTGGGAAACCTTGCTGGCCGAGGTCTTGCAAAAAAATTCTTCAGGCAGCATGTCGGGGCCTTGTAAAGCACCGGGCGACTGGCCGCGGCGATCCGTGCCTATTGCGTCTCACAAAGACTTCTGTGCTTGCTTGCAAGCGCAACAGAACATGAGGGTCGCAACTGCCTTTTTCTGTGGTGCAGCAGGGGAGCGACGGATCTCGTAAAGTCCGTCGCTGCGAGGACTATCGGCGCAGTGGTCACAACTCAACGATTCATGTCACAGATGTCCCCGCGTATGACGACATCAGTAAATATGTTCAGATTCTTTCGCGGCTTGATGCGGCAGGTCAAGATTCGGCAGTCCGGTGTCAGGACTTGCGGGCGGCCTACTGCCAGTTCCCAGTGCCTCAGCCATTCGCTCTGCTTTTGACCCCATCGAAGCCAGCACTATGGAGACATAGGGTTCTTCCTTGTGGCGCTGCTTCTTCAGTTTGGTGTTTAAACAGGTGCGTGAATGGACTGGCTTATTAGCAAGGAGTTTGCTTTTCATACTGGTCATCCACTTCGTGGACGACATAGACTCTAAATCCCATGCTTCGAGCAGTTGTCGTTTCTTTTCTGAACTGTGTGACTGTGTGATCTTTTGGATATGCGCTTAAAAGCCCCAAAAGCCCAATAGTTTTTTGGAGATCTGAGCTGCTTGAGTCTCACTGGCACTTGCGCCAGACCAAGTTCGCAAGGTTTTGCAGACGATACAAGATGCTTTGCAGCATGATTCCCTGGAGCCAATGGTGGCTCAGAGGCTGACAGGCAAGCTTAATTTCTTGTCGACGACGCTCTTCGGCCAAGCAGCATCTGCGGCGATGAAACCGTTGTATGCCAGGGCTCATGATTGCAATAATCAAGAGGTCAAACAACTCAATAGTCCTCTGAGGTGTTCTTCGTTGTCGTTACAGGCGCTTCTCGGGACTGCCCTGACTCGGTGGATCCCTTTTCAACCATCTTGCCACCGCTCGGCCGTGTTGTACGCTGACGCATTTTTTGAGCTAGGAGATCAAGAATCAAGGCTATGGGTTGCCGGACTCTCCCCCGGAGCACTGGTACGTGACCAGCTCGCGACGATATAAGAACGGCTGGAGCTTCGTGGTGCGCTGTGGCGAGGAGGTTCGTTTCGCGCACGGCCAAGTGCCTGCTGAGGCGTTGGACAAGTTTACTTCTCGACGTGCATACATTTGCTGCTTAAGTTTTCGGCCAAATCATTGTTGCCGTCACTTGTCACGACATGCTGTCAGTGTGTTGCCTGGGGCTTTGCAACAACATGGCGGGCAAAGCAGCCATGGTCCGTTGATACGGCCGAGATGCCAACATCAATAGTCTGCTGGCCTGCTTTTGGGCTCTGGCTCAGTTGCTTCAGTGGCAGCCCCATTTCGGATAGGTTCCTAGCGATCAGCCTTTTTCGCGTGGCGACTGTTCCAGTGGCTTTCGAGCAGGTTGGAAATCACTGTCGGACGGCCTCTGGCCCATCTTTCAGCGTGTGGCCCATGTGGCTGTGGATTTTGGTATGCTTTGGAGGGCGCTCCCAGCAATCCCTTGCACTTGCAATGGTTTTTCCACAGGGGGCGATATAGGGCCTCGACTTGAAGCGGGCAGCGGGCTGAGAGGAGGCGGCAGAAAGCAGTCTCAGCCGCCAAGTGATCGGCGTCAGATGCCAGTGCACGAGTTGGACCAGATGCTGGCACTCTCATAGGTGGAGGAAAACATCGTTCTGAACTTCCGCAACAGCATTCTGAATCGAGTAGACATGATTTCTCTTTGTGTGAACAGTACAATGCGAAGGCTGAAAACGTAACACGAAGCAACCCGAAGTTGTCGAAGCGCGCTTCAAAGGGATAATAGCTAGGAATGACAACTCAAGTTATCCAGTGAATGTTTGAAGTTTGTTGATTCCCCGTTTCAGTACAGGTCGTTTTCGTTTAGATGCTGTTTTCGTAAGATTAAGACAATCTGATGGTCAAAGGGCGACACTGGGCAGATGCCACAATGTTCGAACAATTTACAATCAGCTATTCACCTGCTGAGTAGGAGTAATCATGCATGACGACGAGTAGAGCAGCTCATATTTCTACAAAAGCATACAAAGCCGTACATCACATGGTTATGCGTGGCCGTGGTCAATCATTGTTGCTGAGATCAGCATCTGTGGAGATGCAGCAAATCTGTTCTGATATAATGTTGCGATGGGATGAGATTGGCAACGAAAGAGAATCGTAGACGCAGAGTGAAAGAGCGCAGTTACGTATTGATAGGTCAAAATAACTCCCACAAAGCGTAAAACTTAAGTGTGACAGGTTGTGCTTTGCACTTGACCTTCCCCACTACACCACATACATGTGTAGAGCTACAGCTAAAAGGTGATGAAGGAGCATTGCGCGAGCGCATCAACATCAGAATAGACGAGCTATTTGTGGGGTTGAAGCCATCGATGATGTTCTGTGTTTGGTGGTGTTGCCGATGTCGGCAGTAGCATGCCGCAGCTCATGCGATAGGATCGCTGCACGGATAAACGATTTATTGGGCTGCACCGGAGCTGCATAAGGCTGCCGTCATCGGGACAGGTACAGACAGTTGGAGTAACATAATGGTTCACGCACCTTGGTGCAGTAAGTTCAGTCTGACGGTGCCGCGACAGGGTAGCATTGGTGAATTTTCACATTCATCACCAGCTACAGCATTTTCACTTCGTGCTGCACGGGTTGGGATGCTGGTGTGATCCAAACCGGCCGATTGAAGCCATTGGGGCCATTTGGTTACTTACACCCCAGACAATTGGTTCCCCACGATATCGAATAAGAGGTCGTGCCGGATAAGCTAAAACAGTTCAAAATGAGCCTGTTCATTTCCTGTGCATTATTAAGTCTGTCAACTGCCGAGACTTGTTTGCCAAAGGTGCCAGAGGCCGAAGGTGGCAACGAGGCGGTGATTTCAGTTGTTTCCTCGTCGTCGATCACTCCAGCGCGCCTTGGCACGGTTCCGCGACTCAAGCTGGTGCTATGACAGTCGCAATGACTCAGCAGGTTGATGTTTGACATCGACAAGGCCACGGCATGAGCCAGCTTTCGCTTCGCAGCTTCGTTCCCGTTGCAGGTTGCGGCATTTGCTCATCCAGGGAGTTAACCGCACAACAGTCCTTGGAGGTTTTCTGGGGCCACGGCTGCGTGGTGCTCGAAATCGAGCACCGAAGCGACAACATGAAGGAAGGTCCTTTTAGTTTGCCTTTCTCTACCTGGCATGCTTAAAGTGTTTGAGTCGTTTCGAGCAAGTCGGGCATGACGACGCTTCCGAATGTGACGCTAGCATGCAGCTGCCGCAGTCGAGACGAGTCGAGATGACTGAGGTTCTGAAAGGTTTTGACACCACGGCTCGAAGAAGCAGCAGGGAAACGGCGTGCATAGGAAGGGCCACAGCTTGGACGATCCTTCTGGAAGGTTGCTTGGGAGTGCTGGATGATGGGTTCATGCGTGGGGGAAGTCCTAGTTCGCAGCAGCAGCAACAGCCGGCAAAAGGAGGAGTACTCAGTCGGACTGACACGGTTCCGAATGTACCCACGTCACTACAAGGAAGGACGGCACCACGATGCACTTGTCAGCTCCAATTCAAGCTTATCATGACAAGACGGGATGCAGCTGCCGATTTCATGTGCGTTACCGAAACTACTGACCAAGCGTCTTGGATCCTGATCTTGCCTGCATGTCTGATTGGAACATTTTGCAGCTACGACAGCTGTTTGATTATCTGTTCGATGCTCGTGCCAAGATGCTAGACTTGTGGCAACTCGCGCGTATAGGCCTAGCAAGCCGATGCTTAAAAACAACTCTGTGAAGTGGCCCTTCAAAGCACAAGGATGCCGCCTGCTCTCGTATCTTCCCCAAGCCATCGTAAGTATCATCACCGGCGTCGCCTGGATGTGAGAAGGGTGGCTAAATCAGAGTTCACAAGAGGAGTTTTGAAGGGGACTTGAAAAGGATGCTCGGCAAGCGCAAGCCCTCAGCAGGCGAAAGCCGAATCAGAGACGAAGGAATTGCCGGAGAGCGTTCCGGTCTGCAAACTGTATGTCCAACAGGTCTCAACAGGGTGGGAGAGGCTGCTAGGCCCGCCAGCTCACACTGCCAGTAGGATCTCGGAAAGCCAACCTGGAGGTTCGACACAGACCGACTGGACGGTACTGTACCTGTACCTGTCCGCAGCAGATGTTCTTCTCCAGCTGTTGCCCAGCGGTGCGCAGGAGCACAACAGCGAATACAACAAGGTCCAGATCCGCATCCGGTGTCCGGCTGGGCTCAGGCACGCAATCCCGGCACCCATCACCCCTCTGTGTGGATTTTGTCCTGGTGAGTGAGCGTGAGCAGCCGTCATCTGAAGACGATTGATCCGCCGGACTGCCGTGGTTCACTCGCCCCCAAAATCCCCAACCCAACCAACATCCTGGAACGAGGCTTGCGACTCTGATCATGGGACCTGCAGGAGGTGAGGTTGAAGGCCTGCAAAAGGCGGGCCTTTCATTTCCATAATGCTGTTTCATGTTGACCACACCGACTGCCGAAGCGGAATCACGTCCTTCTGAGGTGGCTTGGGAGCATGGCGGAGAAGTCACGGCGCGGTGGTGGGATGCGATGAACAGGCACTGCAATTGAGGATTTCCTCTGTCTTGAGATGTTTTGAAGCGTTGCCAGTGGTTCCAACCAGAGGCCAAACGGGAAGTCGTTGGTGGTCTTCGGCCTTTCGAACGTTCTCTGTACCTCGGCACAAATCTTCGCATAGTTCTATGCACCTCAACACTGCACAGCGCACGACAGCTGAAGCAGATGCATGCTCATGGCCAACCTGTCCTACCTGTCACAGCTTGAAACGACTGTCGGCCGGTAGGCCCCGACGATGTGCTGGATCTCGTGCTTCGAGAGGCTTTCCGCAAATTGTCCCGTCCTGGCCTTCCGGCACCTTCGGATGCACCGATGTGGTGGCTAGCAAGTCGCAGTGCAGGCTGGAGTGGACCCTGAATCGGTGAAGTCAGAGTCGGCCCAACCAGGTCCCGGCAGCAAGAGGAGCAGAGCATGAGCAAAGATGAGCAAAGTGTCAAGCATTGGCGCTGTGGGTCCCCTGCTGCAGGTGCTGTCGAATCCACCAAGCTAGCGATGCTCAAAGGCCTAGAATCGAGAGAAGTTACTCATGCTCGTAGCAATCAAGAACAGTCGGAAGATGTCAGAGGCGATAAGAGGATACACTCCCTCGCGGCCCTGCTGACAGGCCAAAGTACCCAATTGGTGCGCAAGGTGATCGACCACTTGACGTTCACTCCCGGTGCCAAGGCCAAGCCCGCTGTTCATTATACGGCTATGCGACCATGCTTGAAGAGATTCCGTGAACATCGCCGGAGTCAGATTCGCCTTGAAAGGTGGTTTGCTCGGCCATGAAACGCCTGGGCTGCCGACTTGCTATTCTGACTAACACTGGTGCCTCGCCAATGTGGATGGAACCCGAAAGACTTTCAAGCAATGCTTGGCGAACTTCTGAACCGACAGATAGCGGCTTGCAAATGCTGACGTTCGTAACGGATATGTCAAGCCTCAATTGCGAAAGGGCTTGCAGAACACGGTTTCCAGAGTCACGCCCTGAAACTACCTCCAGGCATGCGCGAAATTGCGGAGCATGTCAAAAGCCAGCTTGGGTTCGACTATGTGATCCTTGGCTCGTCGGTCGTCCCGCCAAGCGCAGGCCAAGTGGAATATGAGCGTTTGCGGATGCCGTCAGGATTTGCCGCGATGTGGAGATTGAGGACGGTTGCTTCACGGGCAGGTGAGAATGGGAAGGGATGCATGTTGCCATGCAGCTGCTACCCCAGGCGATTTCCAAGGCACTGTTGAAGCATGGATGGACACGGTAGCCACGGCAATTTCTTCCCCTCGCAGTCCCATTATGGAAGATTCCGTCACGCCATCGTTTCAACAGTCAGAGTGGCAGATAGTGGCAGCACACCTGGCTTCTGCAACTGCAGGTACCTGGGAGAGCTTTCAGACGTGAAGTTCCGCAAAGCGGACCTGCTAAAGCTCATGGCAGAGAGGGAAGGCCGCCTCATCCGTGCAAAGACCTGCATCGCAAGTTCATGTTTTGCCGTGCTCAACGTGAGAGGCGTGGACTGCCGGAATGTGATCACAGTTGGAGAGCCGTTAAAGGGGCTGAAGGCAGACCTCGATCAGATAGTTTCACGATCGCTCTGCTCACAGATGTGTTGTTGTGCGTGCCGATTGCGCACCACGATATGACAGGCTGCGAACGCACGGCTGATGCTGGAAAATTTCGGACCCAATGTCTTTTTCAACTCTACCAAGAGACGTGGCTTGCAACTGCTGCTCATATCATAGTACGGGCCAGGAACTCCTTGCAAGCAGTGGCAGTGGAATGATCTGCAAGCATCGGGCCTGTGGAGGATTTACGATCATGGAGGTTCTCTGTCTCGGCTTTCTTGTCGTAAATTCATGCTCTATGAATTGCAGGAAGGTGAGTGCAGCTTGCTTACTAGCAGCAGTCATCATGCGAGGATGCCAGACCTGACCATTGTCCTCTACCTTCTGGGCTTCAGCGGCTCTGATGTGAGGGCATTGAGGAAGCCTGGCTGAACTACGCATTCATCCGTGTGCAGAACCGCAGAAGCTTTTAGGACATTTCTCTCAGGAAGCGACGTTGGGACGATGGCCCTGGGACCCAGGAGCTCTTGCCCAGCGCATGTCGGGCATGTACACGGTGGGTAGGCCGACCGTGGCCTATTCAATGGCTGTCGCGCATGCGCCGCAGAAGATTCCTTGCTACAAGTACTGTACTAGAGCCAGTCTGGGCGGGGATCTGCTTCTCGAATGATTCCGGCCTGCAGCACCCTGAAAAGATCAATAGGCAGAGCTGTGCGTGCCGCTCTCCGACGCTCGCTGTCGAACCGCAAGCCGTTCACCCGCTATGCTTGCTCTGGAAGCTTCCCGGCAGACTGCGCCCAACAACATCCAACAACATGGTGTGGTGTTGTATGGAACTCTGCTTGCCGCGGCGCATCTGGCCGAATCTCGAAACCACCATCACAATTTGTCGAGCGCACGCATCGATAAATTTGTGTGTATGTGGCAACGCGAAATGAGCAGCAGATGACTGTCCTCGTTGCCAAAGAAACACAGGAGGATCTTCCATGTCGACAGCCGGATGACTAGGGCTGACGAGGGAGCGCTCGACTGAGACCCTGCATACTCCGTTGGCGATAGCTCGGCGGGCTTGGTGGACGCTGATATACACAAGCAGAGGGCAACATGGAATAATCGGATGGGTGGGTTCTTGCAATTTCGAAACAGAAAATCCACAGACCCCCTGAACCTCCGGGTTCTACAGAGCCACACCCATGTTAACAAGGTCGGCCATCCCAGCCCTCGAGACGAGCGCCCAAAGCCCAAACCTGGCAAGCCCCAAACTCTACGGCAGTTCGCTAAGTATGTCGATCATCCTCTATCCTATGTGTATGTATATATAGTGCATTTATGTATGTATGTACGTACGTATGTATGTATGTATGTACGTACACATATTCGTTTATTCATGCAACAGGTTGCACATACTATGCTGTAGCATCTGCAGCTGTATCGGACACAACAACAAGAATAACACCGCAAAACAATGATCGTGGACAAGCAAACAAATGCAAAAGGCAAGCAACATCTGCGAATCAGAACAAAGAGCTGAAAACGCAGTTTGATGTAATGTAATCTGTGGTCATCAAATATGGTGTGTAATATAGTGCAAGATTGTGAAATGGTCATTATCATGTCTTGTGTTATACTAGAACGCTTTCGAACATCTCGCTGAAAAAGCGTGAAGTATAGTGTTCGTAGTGAAAAGTATGTAGTATACATATCTAGTATACAGTATGTAGTATCAGGTATGGTAGTGTACAGCATGGTATACTATGGTATGGCATAGTATGGTGTACTGGAGTTTAGTCTTGTATCGTACGACATGTGGTTATCACAACCGATTTATCTGGAGTTCCACAGATACGTTCACCATTGCCCCTACTGCCCTTGTCTCCACGATTCTTGAAAGCAGGCCTGCTCCGTCCGGACCCTTGAGGTTCCAGGGGAAGTTAGCAGGACATCTGCTCCCGTGCCTTCCAGTGTCCCGGGCTTTCATGATCATGCCTCTCCAGCATCCGGTGGGCCAGATGGTGGTGCATCCCCCTGAGGCGGACCTGGTGGCAGTGGTGGAGGAGGTCACGATGGCAGCAGCTCTAGCGCATGGTGGAGGCCTTGGAGGCGATGGTCCTCCTCCGCCTCCCGATGGTGTGAACGGTGCCTAAACAACTTCCCTCTCCATTTTCGGCGAAATTGTGTCATATGCAAGTTCGCTTGTTGCAACGAGTGTTGCCGTATTTGCAGCGTTTGCTTGAGCGCGCTACTGATGCTCCTTCCACCCCTGACGATACAGGCGGTGGCAGACCCAGAGGCGACGGATCGCTGAGCGACGCCAAGAAGGCGAAGTGCCTGAGCATCCTGAGCCTGAGGCGGCTCAGCCGAGGAGATGGATTGTTGAGATGAGGGAGTGTGTTGCCAACACATCCGCGTACGTTCCCGCATATGCACTGTCGTGGGTCGAGATCCAGGACGGCACTCGACACGAGGACCTGTTGAGGAGTGTAAGTATGGTACGCTCGAAAACGCGTGCAACTCCGCATTCTGCGGGTGCATAAAGCCCATCGCGCTAAAGAACAAGATCCAGACCGAAACCGAGCGGATGCACACTTTTAGCAGAACACCGGTAGCCGTCAGATGTCGTGGCTACTCTACGATTTTCTCAGACCGCACGTGACCGGTGATGCCACGCTCAAGATCATCGATCTTGTGAAAGTCAGTCTCGATCGCTTCAGATATGGTGCTCAGGAAGAGCGACTCGAGGCCTTCTGTGACAAGTGGGATCATTTTCTCGCCGGTATCTCTGTCGATCGTCCTGAGGACGGAATGCTTTGCGCTCTCTTCTATGAGCATGTTCGAGAGCTCCACTGTCTCAAGCTTGGTATGCAGCTTTGGGACAGAGATGCTTCCTTGCGGAACTTGCGCTAATGCGACTTTGTGCAGAAGACGCAACCAAGAGAAAATGTACTCGGCCACGCGATTGTCGTCAGGGCGACGCCGCAATGCCGCTCCTGCACATGGTAGCCCCATCGGACCGGCTCAGGCCAAAGGAGAGGATCTCACAGTCCTGGCCGGCACGGATCCCGACGCGGCAGTCCATGCCGAAAATCATTCCAGCATCGAGGTTCCCCACGAATATATCGTCGCAGAAACGTGGATCACCGGATCGCCCAGAAGTGGATCCAGAAGTCCTGGAAGAGCTGCTCTCTCGCCAACGCGCAGGTCCCCTCTCACTCTCCTCGCGGAAGCCAGATATGCCTCGTTTTCAAGCATGGCCGCTGTACGCGAGGCGGAGGTTGCAAGTTTTCCCACAACCTCAAGGGAAGGAGCTCATCTCCGAAAGGATTCCCTCCTCGATCAAAGGAGTCTCGCGAGAATCGGAGGGCTCGCATGAAGGCTGTCCTTTGGAGGGAACAAGTTTTGCTTTTGCTAGACAATGTTGATGCCAAGACATGGGGAAATGACGCCTGTGTTCTTGAGCTCACGCTCTCAAGCGAGTACGTGCGACGAAGTTTTCGCCACTGCTGCTGAGTCTGTCAAAAGGGTACGGACACTCACGCTTGACTCCGGTTGCGGTATTGATTGGATTGGTCTTGGGGATCTCTCGCGCGATGATCGAGAATTGATCGTGCAAAATGCCAAGCTCATGAGGACTGCCAATGGTAAGACCAATCTCGAGGCCTCGCTCATATACGTGTTTCTGGCATCGAGGAACTAGTTGAGGCTTATGTGCTTGATAGTACCCCGAGTTCGCTGTCACTCGGCAAACGGTGTATGGAGTTGGGATACCGATTCGTCTGGGGACCCTACACCAACCCAGCGTTCTGTGATCCTTGGGGAAGGTGGATAACTGTGGAAGTTATCAACAATATTCCCTACCTTCACATGTGCGCAAGGTATCTGAACAGTGTATACTTCCACGGATGCGGATATTCCGCTTTTACGGATAATATCCCGCTGGCATGCCTTTCGCTCAGGTACTTTCTCGACACTGGCTCGATCATCTTCAACAGTCCATTCAAGTACACTGGCGGCCCAACCTTTGGAGTGGGGCCCGAGCTGACGAAGGGCGAAAAGCGCCCGGAAGTGGAGATGCCCACAAGGCTCTCCCGTCATGTGGTGTGGCATACACCTGCGGCCCTCACGCACGCTCGCAGTGTGATAAGCCGATTTGTTACCCGGGTGGAATGTACCGCATAAAGGATCCCCGTAACGTTGCCACGCACGTTGGGTTGACAGAATGGCTGGTGCTTGCCATCGTTCACGATAATCAGCGGGGGGGGTTCAAACTTCTCCCGTACAAAAGCTTGAAAGTCTACCGGAACCTTCCAGTCACGCGATCTTTGGCGGAAGAGCATCGGAAGACGGCTTTCTTTGGCGCACGAACATGACTATCTCGACAGAGGAGGTCGAGCTCTCCAAGAAGAATTTCAGGGGCACCCTTCAGGGTGCGATTCGGCTTGACATCTCGATCGACAAATTGGTTTCCGGTATGACTGGCAAACTCACACAGATGACAGTGGAAGACTTCTTCCGAAATTGAACCGAGTCCATTGCCCATTGCTGTTGTCAAGCACTTTGGATCGTTGTTCTTGAACTGCCGAGAGAAACCATTATGTCACTACCCGCAATGGCTTACGCATTGTCGGCGTACCGTGAGTGCTTGAAAAGCGATAATTGCATCCTCACTATGTCCTGGCCGCGCTTCACCCACCACGATAGACGAAAACTGGATGCAATGCTTGAGGGAGATGCGCCGGGAAATGGACGATGCAACTGGTAGGATGCGAGTCAAGATGAGGCTCCACTGTGAGCCTGCTGCCATGGACCATTTCTACGGTTCCATCGCGAACGAGGAGCGGCTCGAACGATATCTTCAGGTCGACTCCGAAGTTCTCTCGATGCATCTGGCGGGGATCACTTCGAGAATGGCGTAGGGCATCCCTATGAAAGGGGAACCCGAATACATCTCCGATGAAGATGGGATAGACCTCGATGGAGAGAGCGCCGAAGAAACGGGCATGGACCGAGCTCGATCCGTTGGGATACACCCAGGTAATGCACTTATACGGAGGCGGGGTACGTCTTGATTGACGACACTTCACGAAGACCGGGGTAGAGACAGCTGACGTGACCGAGCGTGCCAGCAAGCTGGGCCAATGGCATCAGAAGTGATCAACGCCGACATCGACGCAACAAACAAGTTCGTTGAGTAAGTCGATAAAATCGCGGGCAGGCTGCCTAAATGCGATGCGCGAGAGCAGCACAGGATACGTTGCACATGCTCAACGCTCGTCCCAGCAGCCCGATTGATATGGAAAACGCCGGGGTTGAGCCGCTGGAAGATGCTAGGCCCCCGAGATCTGGAAGAGTACAGACATCAAAGAAGCAGCCTGCTCGAGCTTCTTCTCCTGTTTCGTCCAGCGCCCCAAACTGAAGCGATAAATCCGGAATATGAGGCCGCAGCTCGAACCGCATCAGCCCAGCCTAGGAAGGCCCAGCAAAAGGAGCCATGGACTCCGGAGCTAAGGGCTAAGCCCATGTCTGCGGCTGAGGTTGCGGAAAGGTGTGGACGATCTCCCGTCACTGCTCACCCGAGGGGCTACCCGATCAATGCACCCTACGGGCCTGATCGACGATCGATCATCGGTTCGTGAAAGGGAAAGGGAAGTCAAAGGGAGAAAAGGGTGAGAAAGGAAAGTCCCGAGCGATAAAGGGAGGAGCGATACAGGAAAGGCCAAAGGAAAGGAAGAAAAGGCTATCGCCCGCGTAGTTCCCCCAATAGGCTTGGTGATGGAACGCGCCGACGAGAGAGAGAGCGACCGATGTAACACTGATGTAACACAGCGAATACGTTGGCGTCTGGTCAAGTGGATCCGGTTGAGCCCCCGTGAGCATTGTTGACCCAGCTGAGGTTCATGTGCGTGCCGGCGCTGATGGTGAAACAACGATCAGACACCATTTCCATCGCCTTGCTCAGCAATGCCTTGTCCTTGCCGAAGCCGCGAAGACCCACTGCGGTACAATGGCTAGCCATGGCATTTTCCTCCTGTGTCTCTCTGTTTTCACTGACACTCGATGCTGCCGAGTCGTTGGTCTGAGCGCATTGATCAAAAGCGCGACTCCGATTCACGATTCAACCAGATCTGTCCGTTGCATCGCGATAACAATGCATCACTACAGTTCTGAAACCTTACCTTATGTTATTTCATGTTTTGCGTTCTGCTTGATGTAATGTTTTGATCTACAGCGAAATCTTGGTACCATGTTCATGCAACGCTATATCGTACTGTTTCAATACTTATACTTTAGTGTGCTATATTTCGTCTATATTTCGTTACATTGTGATGTATCACGTTGCATCTTGTATCATATCACAACATATCGGAAGCAAAGATTCGGTCAGGTTACCATGAAACCATGAAGAGTAGCCAGCTTCTGAACCGTGAGCAACCTGAAAATTGTTTGTGTTTTTTGCCATTGCAGGATTTGCTTTGCGGGAGGGATGGGAGGGAGGAGGGACCGGAGCGGCAGGAGAGGGGGGTAGAAAGAGCAGGGAGCAAGGTCGGAGACCCAAGGTCCATGAACACGGAAGCCGATCGGAGAAAATGATTCTGCGCACGACAAGTTCGATATCTTAGACTATATGGCCGTAGCCTTTCGTTGTGCTCTATTTCGTGGCTTCTCCACCGTCTATCCGGGCGAGCCATTGGCCCAGGTACCTGCCGCATGACAAATTTTTCTAAGCTTGACTGGCTTAACAGCCGGGTGTGGATTCCGCGAGCTGTGCCGCAAAATGGCCATGCGCAAAAAGACTCCGCGTCCCCAAGACCCCCAGAAAGAAAGGCAGAGTAGCGATCGAAGCCAAATTAAGACATTGGCCACAGACCGACGCAGCCTATGTTCAACACGCAAACCACGTATCAGTCCTCACACTGTGCAGGAGCCGTCAGGTTCGGCCGTGCCTCCTTCACCCGCAGCCAAGCGCTTCATGGTGCAGGCGTGTCATTTCTTGAACGTGTGGCGACTTCCTGTCCAGGGGGCTCTTCATGGTATAGCCGAGCAGACTTTTTTACCGGGGGTTGGTTACTTGAACTGTGCAATTCCCAAGCCACAGTCTCCCGCGAAGGTCCTGTCGCAGTACCCGAGCAGCAATTCTAGTACCGTTCGCCCAGGGCAAAGATGTTGATCTGTGAAAACAACTGCGTGCATTCACCACTGACGGAAACACAGAGGCGACAGACGCCCGTGACAAGGTTAGCGCCCAGACTCGGACCGCTGGTCAACTGCAGCGGATATTCCATCCCCTGGCCCCTTTAAGCTGCTTGGCATCATGAACTGAATTCATTCTCAGTGTTTGAGCAGGATCACTGGGGGAGTGCATGCATGCGCCATGGTGCAGGAAACGATGTGCAGCTTACAACAGTTCGACAATGCAGCTTGCAGGCGGCTTTTCTGAATATGCCTGTGAAGAAAGAGCTGACATGCGCGGGACCGTGGTGTGCTGAGGACGGTGGCATGTGCCTTGGTCTGGACCTGACAGTCCTGAAGGCCGAAGGCATTTCGGCATGTTAACGTGGATTGCGGGCCAACGTGCGTGCGTTGTGCAGGCCCAGCCGGATGCGGTCGTGAAGGAGCTTGTGTACACTTGCCAGAAGGAACCTTGGCGTCAAAGAGCCACTCCCGGCTCCCCTGTGGGCGGCCTCGCATTCTCTTGCTAACCTCATGCTTCGAGTTCGCAGGAGGGCTTCGCCATTATGGATGTCAACGATTCTGCAAAAGACTACAACTGGCAGCTTCGATATCAGAACAGATACGTGTCTCGCCTTTGGAACAGCCTTGTGAGGGATTACCAGGCCATCTCTCTGTCGGTTGGACTGTTAGCTATCTTGCCTTCATGGACACGACTTTGTTTTGTCAGGCCTGACTTGCGCGAAGTTCTGAACCGTAACCTTTGTCGGCTTGAGTGCATTATCCTTTGTCCGAAATTCGATCAGATGCGCTCAATGCGACGGAGGTCGTGACACTGGTGCAGAAGCCGAACATTAGCAGCACTTCGCTGAGTGAAGCAGCTTGGCTGGACAGTTTCCAGATTTGGCTATGAGACGCTTGAACCAATGGCCTCACCTTCCAACCTTAAGCAGAGCTCTGCCGATGCGGCTCACCATCTCCATTGCTACTGAAGCTCTGGCATGTTCGTATTTGTGATGGGCGCTTGCAGCAGGTTGTTTGCTCCGGAAACATCGGTTAAATAGAACTGGCAAGCTGCACAAGCACCTGCGGAGGTTCATTGCCAATCCCTGCAGTATCATTCGCAGCGGACTTCTAAAACAGGAGTGCCTGGTGCAAATCGTCGGCCCCCATCCGGCGAGGTGATGAGTGTCTTCGGATCCAAGGGCATCAACATCATCAAAATAGAACGCCACCTGCCTTTGATGTCCAACGTAGTGTGATGTCATGTTGGCTTCGCAATGGCAAGCAAGTACTTTCGGCAGCGTGCCGGCTTCTGGGCCGGACCAAGTGCATTCTGCTGGACCTATATGTTTGACAAAAATCAGACAATATTCTCCGCCTGTCCTTAGTCAGTTTGCTTGGCCGAGGACTTAGCAGCCGTGACATCGCCTCCCTGCAGTTCACGGTGACAAGACTGCCTTACCAACGGATTGGCCAACAAGACTAGGCCTGCAGCCAGCGTTCGGAACTCCAGGAACTTGAAGCATCCATCAAGGCAGAGAGAAAGCAGTAGAGAAGTGCAAATTGGAACTCCACCACACAGCCGTTTGCCACAGAGGGCAAATGCAGGGTGGGTTTCGGCGCATGCGTTCTTCTCAGCAACCTCCGTACTTTGGCCCTGATTGAGCTTTCTAGTCTTTGGCTTCGCTAAAGCCTAGGTGAGCTTGCCCGAGAGCCTTTCATCGGACGAGTTCTCCAAGCACCTCGCGGCTCGTCAAATCAACCGACCGGGCCTAGGCCTCTGCATCCTCTGCAAAGCACGCCAACGAGCATAGCTACCACGTGTTGAATCAGCTTGTTGCGAACCCTTTCCAAAAAACGCGCATGGGTGCTTGAACTTGCACAACAGATCGATATTACTTGGCGATGATTTACGCATGGGCGCCGGCATGCTGTGGGATGAACGTGGGCTGCGGTGGTGGGAGGAGAAAAGGACCCCTGGACGGTTGACTCGCTTGATTCAAGCTTGAATCATCCTTGCCTTTGTAGAATTCATTTGTACATGCTGCCAGGAGAGCTCAAGACTTCTGAGAAAACATGCTACCATAATCGGCTCAAGCAAAGTGAGCGCGGTTACATACTGGTTTGCTCGTTCATAGAAACATGTCGGTGTCAAACGTCGTTAACATTGGTTGCTAAAAGTGTTGTAAGAACTACCAGGGCCCTAAAGTCGGCGGTAATCAGGGCTCAGATCCGGGGGACCGGGGTCGGGGTTTGGGGTCTAGTATTTGTAGCAATAGAAGCAAGCGTAGCAGCAATAGTAGTAAGGATAGTAATGTAGTCATAGTAGAGTAACAGCAGCTCTCCAGCTTGGTTTTAGATGAAGAAGCAAGAAGCCTGGTCCGGACAACAATCAGTGATAGTCGGTCCCGAATTGTCGGCACCGAATGTCTTCATTGTCACCCTTTTTTGTTTGCTACCTGGACCCCATGTCACAATGGATGTACAATAAAGAATAGACATAATGTTTATATTATATATATATATATACACATATGGAAAGAGAGAGAGAGAGAGAGAGACAAACCCCTGCACCACAGCCCTGGCGAAAGAAAGAGAGAGAGACAGAGAGAGTAACCAGCTTATGATCTCTTGTGGCCCTTTTGCACTGACCAGTCGGGTGCCTGTGGCTTCCAGACCTGACGATGCACCCGAGTCTTCGTACCCATTGTACAGCCGAGCCCTTCCATCAAAATGTTGGATGGGGTGGGTAACTCCCCCTGGTCTAACCCCAAAGCAAAGCAAAGCAAAGCAAAGAGTAACACTGACGAAAAAAAGAGAGAGAGAGAGATAGAGAGAGAGAGAGAGAGAGAGAGAGTGTGTGGTGGGGAGGCAACTCCCCACCACAGCCCTGGGGAAAGCGAAAGAGAGAGAGAGAGAGAGAGCCAGTTTGGCTCAAGTCGTCTGCCGTGGCTCTCCTTGTGGGGGGCCTGCTCAGCAACGGCCCTTTGGGCTC